TCAGGAATCTGAGTGACATCTGAGCTGATCAGATATTACGGACTAGCAGTGCCCATTGGGTGGATTTCTTTCTATAGGATAATGTGGAAGAGATGAGGTGTTCATGCTAAAAATGCACTGGTAACAGCTAAAAATACCCACTTTGTTCTTGAGAGTCTGAAGTGGAGAAAAAGTGTCATTAGGGATCTCATTGACACAAGGGCTTTCCATGTCTGGGAAGTGATTTGCTGCAGCCGTAGGGGTTGGGGCGCTTCAGGCTGATGCCGGTGCATGGTGGTGCCTGCTGTGTCTGTCCTCTCCATGGATCAGGGCTTGCCTGGGGTAGGCGTGAATGGGGGATTATGGGTTAATTCACAAGCCTCTCTTCACTGAGGTTTTCCCTCTTTGATCTTCTCTGTCCCCCCTTTTGTAGTAAGGGGACTGAACCCACGGTCTCCTGCGAGCTAGGCAAGGGCTCTACCACTAAGCTACACCTCCAGTCCCCCTTAATCCCTTTTTAAGGAGATGCCTTTTTTGTCTTTGGCTGGAGGGAAGATGAGGAAATAGTAGAATGCTGAAGGCTATGGACTGTAAGAAAAATACTGTTATTCTGTATGATTATTATCACAACGTAAAAATGCCTTTAAGTGTAATAGCTAAGGATTGTTGCTACATTGGAGTACTGACTGGAGGAGGGAATGTCTGTGTATGTGTTTTCCAGGTTCTTCAGGTCATTTGTAGCCTTTGTTACTAGAAAGTCTAATCTCTTGTCTCCATTACAGGCTGCATTCCCTATTAGGAAGAGGACATCCATCCATCCATCCATCCATCCATCTCTTTTTGTTGTTATTGTTTTGAGACAGAGTCGTGTTGTGTAGTTTAGGCTGGCCTTGAACTTGATAAATAGCCCAGGCTGGTCTTGAGCTCACAGTGATACCCCTGCTCAGCTTGCTGCCTTACAGCACCCCTGCCGGATGCTAGGGTTACAGGTGTGTACCACCATGCCCAGCCAGGCAAAGTATATTTTTATAGCCTTCCTCACAACAGATCTTAGAAAGGTGAACACATGCTTCTGTACTGTCAGGATGATCACTGTCTGCATAGACCCTGACCTGCTATTCAGTGAGCAGTCATTTTACCCAGATCTGAGTTGTCAGATGTGTGTGTATCCAGCAGTCAAAGAGCAGGGTGTGCAGGCCCAGGTCTGGGCCATTTTTGGGCATTTCAAGCAGGTTGCAGTTCTGACTTTTAGAAGCAAAGATTACTTTACAACCAAAGAAATTTGAGCAGGAGAGCAAACACCACAAGAAGGTGGGTTCTGATCATCGAGGGGCAGTGGAACAATTTTCTGTCCCTTGTGACTGATTGGAGGACAGTAGGACAGGACTGCAAATGTTCTGTAGGGGGTGGTGGGGGTGATGAAAGGATCTCTCAGGCCACATTTGGGTACTGTGATAGCCTTGAGAAATAGCCAGAGTTTTCATTAAAGGTGAAGCTGACACTGTCTTCCTTTTGGATGTGTTGGTCACGTTTGCTTTGAGAAACAGATGCACCTCCCACCTTCTCTGCAGCTTCTTAGGAAAATGATACAATATCTGTGACAGCCAATCTTGACTGTCAACTTGATTGGATTGGGAGATGCCTAGGAACTTTGTGAGGCACACTGCTGCGTGTGTCTGGGTAGGTCTTGGGGGCATGACCTTGGGGACAGTATCTGGTCCTGGTCATTTCCTCTCTGGAGCATTTCCTGAACTCACTTCTGGGATGCCATGGGTTGAGCAGCCCCTGCCACGGTGTTCTTGTCTTGGAGCCAGCAGACATATGCTGAAACCTCTGTACCAGTGAGCAACATAAACCTCTGCTCCTAAGATGTCAGTTGTGGATGTCAGGTATTTGGTCCCAGCAATGAGAAAGCTGACCGATGCATTTCCTTTGTTCCTGAAATCTAAAATGAGGGCTGAGGATGTAGGTCAGTGAGTACATGCTTAGCATGTCCAATGTCCTAGGTTCTATCTTCAGTACCACAAAATAAATAAAATAAACTGAACCCATTCTGTTTTTTTTTTCTTTCTCCCAAACTGCAAATCTTTTGCTACCTGGCACAGATATGGGGCTCAAACTAAAGGTCACATCCCTGAGCCAATTTAATATAATGCAGTCTATGAGAAAAATGCAACCCAGCTTGGTTTTAGATGGCTGAAAAAAAATGGAGAAGTCAACAAAAAAATATCCTTTTTCATTTGTTTGCGTAAATGTGAAACTGGGATTTGGAAATTTCCCAAAGACAAAAATATATCCTGCAGGCTGATTTTATGCCTAGGTATGCAGCAGTGAGTGAAGGTAGAAGGAGGATTAGAAGAGAAGGTAACAAGAGACTCCACAGACGCCAGGTCCTCGGCTCTCTGACATCAACCATTCCCCTGGTTCTCCTGAGGGGAAATCAGCAAGAGGCAGTGATCAGAAATGAATGTTAGCTTGAACATAAAACCTGGGGGTGACAGGGGGTGTAGCTTCATGGTAGAGCGCTTGCCTAGCATGTGTGAGGCCCTGGGGTTTAATCCTCAGAACTGCAAAACAAACAAAAAAACCCACTGGCATCTATTTTCTGAAATCGCTGTGACCTTTTGATGACCAGTGCCCATTCTGGATAGCCGAGTGGACTAGCAGCAAGCGGATCCATGGGCTCACCTGGGGCAGCGCCCCTAGGTCCGTGTCCTTGCCAGTCTCTGGTTTTCCCCCTTTTGCTTGCTTAGTGGAAAAAACACTCCTACAGGACTAGAGCTTGTCACAGGAATGGATTCTGAGGCCTGCTGTGGTTACCTGGCTGTCGGCCAGCGGTGAAGGTACAGATGACAGGACCAGGCTGCCACCAGGCAATTGTTCTGAAGTCCCAAGGAAGTGGGTACAGATTTTAGAATACATTTAGCACAACGTGCAGCAATCCCTTACATCCTGGGAGAATATGGTGCCTTATACAATTAGGGAAATAAAACTGAAGCACCCACATGGAATACAGGTCCTGGGTGAACTGTGGGATGGTCAAATTTATAGGAATTGAAAAATATAAATAAACAACATGCATAGCTACTGTGAAAGAAGCAAGCAATGCCTCACTCATACTAAAGATCAGAGAAGTGATAGTGAATTTGGATTTATCTTGTTACATACCAGCTGTGTGTACTTTGGCAAGTTATTTACCCTCTGTGTGCTTCAGTTTCCTCTTTTGTAAAATAGGTATTCTGGTGGGTATGCGTAGTAAGTAGATTAATATATGCTCAATCTTCAGAATAATGTTCAGTTTCTGGTAAATGCCGTTTCGATGTCAGCTACTGTTACTGTTCGCTTCTATGTTGTAACCTTTATTTTTTTCTGCATCCTTTCAGTAAGGGGTGGGGAACTTATACAATTCTGACCCTCCTCACTTCCTTTGAAGTAGAATTTCTTTGTTTGTTTTTTGAGACAGGGTCTCACTTTGTAGTTCAGCCTGGCCCTGAACCCATTATGTAGCTCAGGCTGGCCTCAAACTCAAGGAGATCCTCCTGCCTCTGCCTCCCAAGTGCTGGGATTACAGGCGTGAGCCACAATGCCCAGTTTGAAGTAGAATTTCTAGGAGTAAAGTCTGGACCAAGAAAGCTGCCTGAGTGGCTCTGGGGCACAGAAAGGCTGACAATCAGAGGAAAGGGTGGTTTCTCCAAAGTGCTTCAGCTTGAAAGTTTGCATGCTGCATTTCTATCTGGAGGGCTTATAGTGTCCCTTTGCATACTCAGTGCACCAGTGTGAGGTTAAACTTTCTTCTTCACCTGTTGCCTTAGTCACGTTCTCATTGCTGGGACAATATACCCAACACCTACAAATAAAGGAGAAGAGGTTTATTTCGGCTAATGTTTCATTCCCTAGCAGCTGGCTCCAGGGTAGGATGGAATGGCACAGGGGCATGGCGGAGCAATAGCAGCTCACCTCATGGGAGCCAGGAAGCAGCATGAGAGGAGGAGCCGAAGAGGGAAGTGCACCCTTAGATCACACTACAGGTGACTCGCCACGCCTCTCCTGGCCAGACTCATTGTTTAACAGCACACTGATGCTCATCAGGGGACTAACCCACCAATAAGTATGGTGCCCCATGACCCAGACTCCTTCCCAAAGCGCTGCCTGGGAGCACATGCAGCTTTGAGGGGATCTAGATTTAAACCATAATACCTATTTTTTGAGGTGAAAGTTCCCAACATAAAATTAACCATTTTACTTTTCTTTTAAAAAAAAATCATTTATTTTACTTTTGCTTTTTCTTTTCTGAGACAGGGTCTTGCTATGCTGTCCAGGCTGGTCTTGAATTCCTGGGCTCAAGCGATCCTTCTGCCTCTGCCTTCCAAGTAGCTGGGATTACAGGTGCACACCACCATGACAGGCTAAATTATCCATTAAAAAGTGTATGTTTCAGTGGCATGTACCATCGCAGTACTGTGCAACCAACACCGCTTACTATTTTCTAATCATTTTTATCACCAAGAGAGATAATCTGCTACCTAGTAAGCTGTCACACTCCTTCTTCCAGCCCCGGCAACAGCCAATTTGCTTTCTGTCTTTCTATCTTTTCTGTCTTTTTATCTATTTCGGGTGTGTCACACAAGGGAATAATACAGCATGTGGCCTTTTGTGCCTGGAGTCTTGCTAAGTCCTTAGCATCGTGTTTGCAAGCTCCCTTCACGTTGTCTCAGGAGTCCATTTTCTTTTCACAGCTGTGTATTCTGCACTATAGATCCACTGCATTCTGTTTACCCACTGCCCTGTTGGTGGACGGTTGGGTTGTTTTATACATTTTGGCTCCCTATAAACAGGGCTGCTAGAAAGAACATTTATGTCCAAGTATCAGTTGAACAGCTGCTTTCCATTTTCCGGGTGTACACCGACGAGGGGAACTGCTGGAATAGATACGCAGTGGTAATTCTATATTTAACTTTTCAGGGGACCACTGAGATATTTACATGCGATGATACTTTCATCTCTCTTCTTTGTGCTCACAGATCTTCCTTGACATGTCCCCACTGCCTGAAACAGAGCAACACCTTTGACCCCTTCCTGTGCGTGTCCCTTCCTATCCCCTTGCGCCAGACAAGGTACGTGAGAGTTGCTCCTTGCCCTTTGCCCTTGACTTCCCTCTTGCTGGTTACTAATGGGGTCCCTGACCTTGAACCCACCGCTTTTCTGTTTTGTTTCTCACTGAGCCTTTCTTTGTCTAGAAAGCAGTCTCATGGTCCAGTGACACTGAGTTATTGAACGGGGACCATGGCCCTTCTTTAGCAGGGAGAATGGGCCTTGGGCAGCAGGATTGGGTCTGACTCTGGGCTGTGTATCCATGCTGTTGCCAGGAAGCCATGTTTGGGTCATTGAGGAGCCGGCGTGGGGCCCCTTGGCTAGACAGGGACAAACCAGAGCCCCTTGGTCAGCACCTCCTCTTCCCTGCTTTATTTTAAAATTCTTTTTCTTCTCTGTGAAGGTTTTGGGAAAATGATTTGTTAAAGAATCAACAAAAACAAAAAAAAAAAAAAAGAGGAAAGGGCTGTTTTGGGAGAGAAGAAAAAGAAAAGCAGAGGCATGGTTGGGTGAGGGCAAGGTGTGCAGAAACCTACTGTACAAAAGCCAGAAGCAGGTCTTGCCGCTGCCTCACAGATGTCAAGTGCTGTGGTGGCGACTGGTTGGTGTCAGCGCCGAAGGGGGTCAGTGAGCTTCCAGGCAGGAGCTGTCCCTGGTGTGGTGGTGGCCATGTGTTCTCCACTGCCGTAAGTACCATGTGTCCTGCCCTCCACCTGTCCACAGTCTGTCCTTGGGACGCAGCAGACGGCATGACTCCTCTTTCTTCCCTCTCCCTCTCTCTCTTTCTTTCCTTCCCTCCCCTCTGTTTCTCTCTCCTTCCCCCTCCCCTCTTTCTTTCTTTTTTTCTTTCTTTCTGTTCTCTACATTAAACCTAGGGCCTTGAACATACCAGGCAGGCTGTCTACCACTGAGCTTCATCTCTTTTAAAATTGTTATTTTGAGACACAGTCTTGCTAAGTTATGCTGGTTGACCTCAAATTTATAAACTTCCTTGCCGTGGCCTCCCAAATAGTTGGATTATAGGTGTGCACTACCGTGCCTGGTTTAACCTCCCTCTCTGTTCCAAAACCCTGTGCTGTGTGTACCACCGGTGTAATATTTACTGTATGACATGACTGATGCTACCCTTCGATCCCCTTTTGATCCATGTAACTTGGCCTGATGCCTCACAGTGCAGTGGTTAAGATCACTGCCTCTGGGACAGTCTGCCTAGAGTCAAATCCAAACACCACTAACTAGCTGTGCGACTTGAACAGGACAAGAGAAACAACCATCAGAAAACTGGGCCGGGAGAAATCGTGCGAGGTAAAAGTCAAGGTTTCCAAGGAAAATTTTCATTAAGAAAAGGAGAAAATCATGCATAAGGTTGACTTATTCTTTAAGAAGCAGTTTGTCTGCTTTATTTTTCCAAACTTTATTCACTGGGACAATTAGAGTCTTGAAATCAGAGAGCCAGATAGCGATTCATAATCAAATACCTTCTATTTTCAACTCTCTGGAAAACCAGTTTAGGAGATTCGACTCTCTACTTCCACCTGGTGGGAGTACGCCTAAAATGCAAGGGGCAAAGGAAAGCAGGTGGTTCTAAAATTGAACCATTGTCAGTGGTGTTGGTGACGCTTAATGTCAGTCCTTTAGGAATGTGGCCCCCTTTCTGTTTTCCAGATTCTTGAGTGTCACATTGGTCTTCCCCTGTAAGAGTCAGCGGTTCCTGCGGGTAGGCCTGGCCGTGCCAATCCTGAGCACAGTGGCGGCCCTGAGGAAGATGGCCGCGAAGGAAGGCGGAGTCCCTGCAGATGAGGTGTGAGGGGGCTGCACTTGCAGGCCATAGCAATATGTCTCCTGGTTTCTGTGTGATTCCTAGTTCCTGGTGTCTGAGGAGACTGGGCCTCGCCCCTTGCGGGGTGACCACGAAGGACACCTGCCCTCTTAGAAGGTGGTAGTGATCATGGAGGGGATAGTTTCAACAGCACCTAACCTCAGTCATACTCACCAAGTTCTGAACATGTCTAGTGACCTTTATATTCATTTCTCCTCGTAGTTGATATCATGCCAGCCCCTCTAAAGTAGACATTATAACTGTGCTCATTTTGTTAGTGAGGAAAAAGAAGTCCTGAGGGGTTAAGTGGCCTGCCCAAGGTCACACAAGCTAGGAACTGGCAGTCAGGCTTTGAACTTAGGTGGTTTGAGCTACTGTAGTCTGAGCTTACTACTCTGTATTTTCACTTGTGAGGTCATAAACCAGGCTGCTGAAGGGACAGTAAATGAAGTATAAGCAGCTGCTGAGAGAACTGAGAATGTCTGACATGGGGAAGGTGGGTGGCTGTGCTTTTTCACTTTTTTGAAGGAATTTTGGTGAAAGATTGGAGTCACTGTGACTATAAAGGCTTCCATGACGTGGTGGGGTGAGAAGCAATGATGGTGACAAGCCGGGTGGCAGGAGTAGAGGGGCTCTGATGGAGTTCTAACTGTGATTCAGTTGTCCTGTAGCTCTCTGACCTTGGATCACGTAAGTGATTGCTGGTCCCTCTGTTTCTTTACCTTTTATACCTCTCTGACTGCCTCATTGGATTTTTGCTAAATAAAAAAATATTTTAACCTTTTTGTTCAGGTATACCATACAGCGTGGACATCCTAGGGTTGTCATTTGTTAAATTTTACACCTGCCTACAGCCATATAATCACCATGGTTACTGAGGAGCCTTCCCAACACCCCAGCTGCACCCCCCCCAAATGCCTTTGTCCTCCATTACTTCATATAGGTTTCTTACAGGGATCTCAAAAAGGGGGAAAATACAGGCCAGGGATTTAGCTCAGTGGCACTGCACCTGCCTTGCAAGCACAAGGTCCTAAGTTTGATCCCCGGTGCTGAAAAAAAAAATAAGGAAATATATATGTATCTTGCTTTCTATATGCTGAAGCGCACTAGGGGACCTATTTGTGTGCACGAGAGAGGAACAGAGAAAGAGAGAGACGGAGAGAGAGGGAAGGAGAGGGAAGGAGAGGGAGAGAGTCAGATAGGCGTATTTGGGGGCAAAATGGCAGTAGAAAAGAACCAAAGAGGAACATCTGAGAGAGATAGAGTTTGAATAATAGTAGGACTGTCAGGAATGAGAGTGGTGTTCAGGGAGATAGAAATCTCTGGGGATGTTGATATGAATATTTTGATTAGAACTTAAAACCTATCTTGATATTTTATTTTAAATGGCAGTTTAATTTCACTTGTATTACCTACGATCACAAATACCTTTGGGTGCCTTCCCACCATCATATTTTATGTTTTTTTATTTACTCAACATTTCCTGCTTTCAGGGGAGGGAAGCTTCCTCCCCTCGTTCTTTTACTACTTTAAAAAAATAGAGCATTTTTTCCTTATTTTGTCTTCTGATTTGGGACATATAATATTTCTTTCTTTTACTATGTATTTATTTGTTTGGTACTGGGGATTACATTCGGATCCTTGCAGTTTCAAGGCAGGCGATGGAACCACTGAGCTAAATCCCCAGCCCTCGTTTACTATTTACTATTTATTAAATGTCACAATGTATAATTAACAAAGTGTAATATTAATGTCAAGCAGCACAAAGATCCTGATATGCTTTCTTTTTATACCTTCTTTAATTAGATATTATGGATAGATATTATTATTTGTCTATAATGCCTCCTACCCTTCCAACTTGTAAAAGTTGTACTAGTTATTATTATGTTTTACATATTCAATGCATGTTTACACTTGCCAAATTTTACCATTTTCTTTTAAGTCATTATTTTTACCTTACAACTCAGGTTTTATTTCTGATTGTTGTTGTTTTTTCCTTTAACCCTGAAATGTATCATAAGAGAATTTCCTAGCTGAGGTGCCTCAGATGAGTTCTGTGAGTTGTGTGTTGAGATGTTGATTCCTTCCTCCTTGGGGAATCAGGGGGCAGTCTGGGTTAGGCAAGACTCCCAAAGTGGTCACTCCTTTCCTCTCTTCTTCTCCAGGTGAAGCCAGCCCCATAAACCTATGTTCCAAAAACATTTTTCATGTATAACATAATATAAAAAATGTCAGTCACACTATTTAGATGTTCACTCAATGGAGGTCTGTAAGTGGTAAGCATTTTTTGTTTACCCGAAGAGAGCTTTATTTAGTCCTAATTCTTTCATACCATTTAGCTGGGTATAAAACTACAGATTAAAAAAAATGTTTTTGGTTGCAGTTGAAATGTCTGTGATCGTACTGTTATAACCTTCTGTGTTTTATTACTTAAAATGTGTAACCACTTGGAAGGAAAGGGTCTAACAGACCTTCAAGACTTTCAGTCACTTTTTGATTTCTTATCTCTTAGGTTTTCTTTGAGAAATCGGAAGGGAAATTGATCCTTCTCTTTCCAGGTCATCTTAGTTGAACTGTATCCCAATGGACTCCAGCGGTCTTTCTTTGATGAAGAGGACTTGAATACCATAGCAGAGGGAGATAATGTGTATGCCTTCCAAGTCCCTCCATCTCCCAGCCTGGGAACACTCTCAGGTACAACAGTGCTTTGCATAATTTTATATGGATATTATGAGTTATAGATTGGAGATAGTCCTCTTTGGTCATTAAGGCATAAAACATTTAGTTTTAGCACTTGGAAATGTTAGGCTTATTTTCCCTGCAATTTTGTGTATAGGTGGTTGATTGATGGTTGATATTAAAAATGATTTAGCTAATACTGAGGTTCTTAAAATCTTAGTGAATATTAGAATCAGCCAGAGGGTTTGTTAAACCAGATATTTATAGGTCCTGCCCCCAGAGTTTTTGATTCAGTTGGCTTGGAGTGGGGCCTGAATTTGCATACCTAACAATTTCCCAAATGATGGCAGTCCAGGGATATTTTGGGAATCACTCTTTAGTGTAGGTGCTGGTGTGATCTTTATTTTCAGGACTTGTGATTTAAGGTCTGTGCTTGAAATAAAATTTAAATGGCCAAAGAAATTAGAAAATAACTTACTTGTTAATGGTTATGCTTTGTAATGCTTTTCTTTCTTAAACCTCACACTAGTTAACTAGTTAATTTTTTTTATTTTGAGACAGGGACATGCTGTATAGCTCAGGCTAGCTTTGAACTCTCTATGCATCTCACGCTGGCCTTGAACTTGGGAAAATCCTCCTGCCTCGGCCTCCTGAGCGCTGGAATTACAGCCATGCAGCACCAAGCCTGGCAACATGGTTAATTTCTAATAGCCTTTTGCTGTTAGCAATATACATTTTGGCCCATTTAGGCAGTCTAGGAGACCATTATGAAAGGACCCTGCACCAGTGTTACAATGTACAGCGACCCCTTGATCTGTGTCATCCCTTTCTTCAGTTTCAGTTACTTGTGGTCAACCATGATCTGAAAATTTTAAATGGAAAATTCCAGAAATAATAATTCATTTTTTGTGTTTGGCTTTGTTTCTTCCATGCTAGGGATCACACAGAGGGCTTCATGTATGCTAGGTAACTGCTCCAACCCTGAGCTGCATCCTAGCCCCATACTTCATAAGTTTTAAATAACTTTGAATACCAGTTATTGTTGTAATTATTTTGTTATCATTGTTAATGTCTTACTATACCTAATTTATAAATTACACTCTAGCATAGGAACAGATGTATAGGAAAAAACCATAGCATATATAGTTTTTTTTCTTTCTTTTTAAGAGTTTGGTACTTTGATATTTTCTGAGGTTTTAGGCATCCACGGACTGTCTTTGAAGGTGTCTTTCTCTGATAACAGTGACTTACTGGATCTCTGATGAGTCCTGTGCCAGCTTAGGCAGCAGGCCGTGGGGACTGGGTGTTTGATATTCTCTGAGACAACATGAAAACTCTGGGCATTGGAATCTGGGACAAACTATTGATTGACCCTGTTTTACAACATAGTGAAACAAGTCTTCATTTCTAATTTAATCGTGAGTGACATATACTTTGCTGAAAGTCACAGTTCACACCGGAAATGGAGAATAGTGAAGTCCTTCTCCTTTCTCCACGGGAGACTTTTGCCTTCTCAATATACTTCTTGTGTTGGCTTCCAAAGACCGTAGATGCTCTCGGGGCTGCCTGATCAAGGTATAAAAACACCAAAATTATTTTGGAGTCTTTTTCAGATTGCTTTGGAAAGAGTTAATTAAACCCTTGCCAGTATTTAAAAATTATTGGCCCGGCATAACTGCAGACTCACTAACATGCTCACGATGTTTGTACACTAGGTGACAGATGGCACAAGTGATGTGAACCTTTTTATCTTCTCCCAAAAGCCACCAGGTGTCCTCCCACTGGTGGGGAATAGGTGCTCAGGGAGAGAAAGGGTCGGAAAAGCCAGGGCTCCAGCCCACTGCAGGGGCTCTTCAACGCCATTCTCTCCCCTCCAGCTCATGCACCGGGTCTGCCTGTGTCCCCGTGCTTGGCGGCCCGAGAGGGTCAGCGATTCTCCGTGCCTCTCCACAGTGAGAACAAAGTGCTCATCCTCTTCTGCAACCTGGTGGGGTCAGGCCAGCAGGCCAGCAGGTACATTTAACTTCATCCTTTCCTCACTCTGTGCTGCGATTTGGAGACCTGTACTTGGGGTATTGTGTAGAGTAATTCTAACTTGATGAAATTAAATATCTATCCCCAAGATTAATAAAATAGGAGAAGGGAATAGGGCACTTCCTGAACAAGAGGATTGGAAATAATTGCTTTAAGCAGATGGTTAACATCATCCTTAATTAAACATCAGAGCTTTCCCTTTCTTTGAAGGAATGATTATTATTGCCCTCATTACAGTTATTTTATACAGTATTGTGTTGTAAGAGCCATGTGTGTCTATAGTCCCGGCTACTCAGGGGGCTGAAGAAAGAGGCTCGAGAGTTCAAGGTCAGCCTGGGCAACATAGCAAAACAACAAAACAAAGCCAAGAACTAGAAAGTGATTAGAACTAATGAAAATGGAAAGGGACTGTTTGCATTACAAATTTGCAAAAACAGATAGTTTTTTTATATAGTCCAAATAAAGTGTTTACAGAGAAATGATAAATGTTTGAAGTGGTAAATAGTCTAATTACTCTGATTTGATTAGCTCATGATGTATGGAAATATTACATTGTATTCTATAAATATATATTCTTGGCTGGGTATGGCGGTGCACACCTGTAATCTCAGCACTCAGGAGGCTGAGGCAGGAGGATCACTGTGAGTTCCAGGCCAGCCTGAACTACATAATGAGACCCCATCTCAAAAAAAATTATTTTAAAATATGGAATAATAAAGTGCTAAGAATAGCCAAAAATATTGGGGAAGAGGGAAAGGAATAAGAGGAATTAGTCTATGGAAATAGAATAAATTTTAATTATTAAAATATTGTGGCATGAGCAAAAGAATACACAATTAAATCAACCAAATAGAATGAGCCTTTGTTATATGACAAAGCAGCATATTTAATATTTTATATGACAAAACAGTGAATGAATTATTCAATAAAATAAGGCCAAACTACTTGATTTCTTTCTTTTTATATTAAACAATTACTTTTTAATTTTTTTGTAGTGCAGGAGATTGAACCCAGGGCCTTTGCATTGAGCTGCACCCCCAGCCCTTTTTAGTTTTTGTTTGAGATGGGGTCTCATTAAGTTGCACAGGCTGGGTTCAAATTTGGGATTCTCCTGCTTTACCCTCCCAGAGTAGTGGGGTTACAGTCATGTACCACCATATTTGGTCAAAAAATTACATTTTTACTCTTGCCATTAATTCATACACATAAGCCCTAGATTGACTAGAAAGGTATCTTTAGAAAACAAAACACCGAAACCTTAAGATACTTTTTAAAAAGGATGGGCATGGTGGCACATGCCTGTAACCCCAGGATTTGAGAGGTTGAGGCAGAAGGATCACCAAAAGTTTGAGACCAGCCTGGGCTTCCTAGTGAGTTCAAGGCCAGCCTACACTGCAGTGAGATCCTATCTTAAAAAACAAAACAAAATAAATAAATTTTAAAGAAAATATAGGGGCATATATATGTCTGTCTGTGGTGGAGGGGTTATTCTCACACATTCACAATGGGGCCATTATTTGTATGTCTCACTGCCAGGTGGCTTGAACCACACATGCCTGGCTGTACCACCTGTATCAGCAGTGGTTCCATCCATCTGATGGGATGGTCATGCACTCCCTGGTTCAAACTGGTGGGAACAGCTTAACACCTAAAACAGGAGGCTATAAAGGAGAAGGCTGATGTTTTAATTGTACTTAACATTCTAAACTAGAAGCACTTAAAGGCAAAGGACAAATGTGCAAGAATATCTGTCAGGTGCAAGGTGAAAGATTCCTCTCCATCGTATAAAACCTAGTGCTCTCTTGAGGAGATGAACATTCTGTCAATAAAATGATCGCAGAAGCTGGGCATGTTGCTGCATACCTGTGATCCTAGCATTTAGGAGGGAGGCTGAGGACAGAGGATCATCATTCATAAGTTCAAGGCCAGCCTTGTCTATACAGTGGGTTCAAGGCCAATCTGAACTACAGAGCAATAGCCTGTCTCAAAAACCCACCACCAACAATGAAACAAAGTTGACCGCAAAGATTAACGTGAGTTCACAAAAGAAATGCATTCCCAGGTTAAAGTATTCAGCATCATTAGTAGTAGGGGACATTCTGATTGCAATAGCAAGGTAATATTCTTTGTTTTATTTTGCTTTGTTTTTTGAAACAGAACTATAATTCAGTCTGACCTTGAACTCACTATGTGGCCCAGGCTGGCCTCGAACTTGCAGCCTCAGCCTCCCTGGTGCTACAATTATAGGTGTGCACCATCATGCCTGGCTCAACAGCAAGATACTATTCTCTTTTTCTTTTAAATAGCAAAACATTTATTGGTGCATTTTAGGCATGCATAGTACTAACACATCCTAGGGAATCTGCACCCGTACGTGACACATCCCACCTTTCCCCCCATTCTCCCTTCTCCACTCGAGCCCCCTCCCCACCATGTACAAAAGTTTCGTTTCCATTTTCACTTTTTTTCTTGTCCCTTCCCCTTTCTTCCCTTCCTTCTTTTCCCCTCTCCCTCCCCACTTCCTTCCTTTTTCCTCCCTCCCTCTCTCCCTCCCCGCTCCCTTGTTCCCATTGACATTTGAATATTTTCTTCCCATTTCTCAATATCCATTAAACATTTTCGTCCTCATTCCACTTTTGGTTTCTCACACCAGAGAAACTGCTGTATTTAAACATGTGTGTCTGGTGTATTTCACGTAAGAGTATGGTCTCAGGGCCCATCCATTTAGCTATAAATGTCTGAAGCGCATCCTTCTTTATGGCAGAGTAGTGCTCCATTGTATAAAAAATGCCATTTCTTTATCCATTCATTGGTTGGTGGGCATTTGGGCTGTTTCTAAGGTTTAGCCATGGCACACTGTGCTGCTATAAACATGGGTGTGCATATATCGCTGATTTTATGCTTTAATTCTTTGGGGAAGATACCAAGATGGGAAAAGCTAGGTCAAGTGGAACCTAGTTTTAGTTTTTTGAGGAATCTCCACACTGATTTCCACACGGTTGCACCAGTCTACACTCCCACCAACAGTGGAGAAGGGTAGCAAGATACTATTCTTAACCTTTCACATTGTTAAGGAATTTTTAGACATTGATAATAAATACTCTTCTGGGCAAGACCAAAGCTAATCTTTTTTTCTTTTCTGTACTGGAAATTGAACCAAGGCCTTCACACTGAGCTTCATCCCCAGCCAACTCTTTTTTATTTTTTATTTTGAGACAGGGTCTTGCTGTTGCAAGTTGCCTGGGCTGGGCCTGAACTTGAGATCTTCCTGCCTCAGCCTCCTAGAATCCTGGGATAACAGGAATTACCATCACTATTTACCTAGGAAATTGGACACTTGCCTCATCGCTACATTGGTGTGGCTTTTTTGGAGGGCAGTTTGGGAATAAAGAACTTTGGTCTGCCTTTCCACTAAGGGAACTTTAACCTGTAGGAACAATTGGTTATGGGCAGCCAGAGGTACATGTATGAGAAGATACATAGTTCCTCCCATAAGCAAGCGCTGTTTACATAACAGCGAGAAGCAAATTGAATGCTTGTGATGCAGGATGAGTTACACGAACAGAACTGTACTCGATGGAAGCACAGTGCCCTGCCCTGTCCAGACACATCCCTGTCCATTTGTGCTGCATCTTCAGCAGTGTTTACAGGACAGTTTCACAGTCCACAGCGGGTCTTCATACGACACAACCCCGGAACAGTGAGTGGCCAGTGATTTGTCCAGCAGCGCTCTTGCCACAGCTGGGATGATAGCCACAGGCCCATCCGTGTTTCTTGCACTACAAGTTCCCTGTGGTGTGTGTGTGAGTGTGGGATGTGGAAAACGTTCCTGGTACTGAAAATATTCCTGATGCAAAACCTACAGCTGTGCCGTCTGGATTTATCCCTGCCCTGCTTTCTTCGGGTTCTCTTCGGCTCCCTTACTGCTCTCCCCACTCTGAGGAGTGTATCCTAGCCAGTCCAGCCCTGGGAGCCACTGCTTGCACTGCCGTGTGTCTCTGGCTGTGCCTTTCTGGCCCCCTTTTGCCTGGCAGTGTCCCCTGTATAATGCAGGGCTCTGTGCTTTGTGCTTGGCTCTAAACTCTTCACTTATCCAGTTCAGAGCAAACCATGAGTGGAGCAGCACTCATGACTGTTGGGTGTTGTCGGTTTTCCTTTGCTGAAATAACCTGATTTCCTTGCATTTCCAGATTTGGGCCGCCTTTCCTGATAAGGGAAGACAGAACCATTTCCTGGGCCCAGCTCCAGCAGTGTATCCTCAGTGAGGTCCGCTATCTCATGAGGATTGAGGCTCCTGCCCAGGTAGGGCATGTGTGTGTGTAGGAAAATGGAATCTAGAAGAAACTCTGGAGAGGGAAGGATTTTCTGTGAGTGAGAGTGTTTATGTTGTTTTATCATACAACTCTGATACACGTGCAAGGGAGTAAACCATTATGTGCCCTTAATGTTTTAATATTTGTGTGGCAAAACACTTTCCATACCAGAGCTTTTTCCAGACACCACTGGAATAAAGAGCAGTATCTACATTGTTATTTTCATTTTTGTATATTTGTGATTTTCCACCATTTTCCCTAGAGGATGGCATTACTGTAGTAATTTACACATTTAGATCAACAATTTCTTTCTTTTTTTCTTTTTCTTTTTTTTTGAGACAGGGTCTCACTTTAGTTGAGACTGACCTGGAACTCACTATGTGGCCCGGGCTGGTCTCGACCTCACAGCGATCCTCCTGCTTCAGCCTCCCGAGTGCTGGGATTACCGGCGTGTGCCACCATGCCTGGTTAGATCAACAATTTCAAAGGACTTGAGATATAATTTCTGTGGCATATTACAATTCATGATTGTGTCTGAGTGTGAAAATCTAGATATTAAAATGAATTTGTCCAGTCTTTCAGAATGTGGGATTTAAAGCTCAAAAGAAAACACTTTTTTGCCATATTTATTAATTTATTCTCAGATTGATAGCTCCCCAACTTAAAAAAATATTTAAAAACTGTAGATTTTTAGTACCTATAAAGCCATTAATGTTTTAGCTCCTATAATATCAGAAACCATTCTGATGGCTGCCCGGCATGGAAGATTTTGAAATTTTTAGGGACAAGTCAGTCACATCAGAACCTTGTTCCTCTCCCAACTATTCTCTTAGTAAGACCCTTTCACTTGGGTGACCACCTGATTTATTTCAGAGCCAATTCCTCATAATTCAGGTTCCTTTCTGCCCATACCTTCGATTTAGGATTTACACCGACTACCATTTTGCTGAAGGCCTTCACTATATTTGTAGCAATCTTTATCTCTCCAGAGTTTTGTGTGTTGTACTACAGAGTAGATCTGCCACAGAGCCCAAATTAGAAACTAACTTCTCTACAAGTAGGTCAGAAGATCTAGCAATAGCTTTAGCCAGCCCCAAAACCTGTGTGCTGCTGACTGCTGAAAGTGGGTGAAACCACTTTCATATGAACATTTCTCTCAGCCATCCTTATTCTCTACCTCATCACACACACACACACACACACACACACACACACACACACACACAATTTTGGTTTCTGTGTCTCTATCGTCATTTCAACATTAAGGACTGACCAAGAAACTGACCATTGGGCAAGCAACATTCAAAACAGGGAAACTCCCCTTGGCCCTGGATGCCTCCCCATAGATTCATCAGTAAATGTGTGGTTGGATATGGATTTCTGTAAAAATAATATGTTCCTAAAAGTTGTGAGGTTCCCGGGCTGGTCCACCGAGTCCAACCCGCAGTTCTTTTAAAAGTATGTTAAACAGTGAGTCCATATGGTCATAGCTTGAACATATTCAGAGTTCTCAACGCTGAAATGGAAAAGATGAAGCACAGCGAGCGTGCATGGAGGCCTCTAAAATGAACCGGCTTAGCCCAGAACATAGGACAGGAAAATGTGCCTTGTGCAAGTGAACAGTTTGTTGGAGAGAATTCCTTTGCCCGAGCGATGAAGAAGAGGTTTATCACTAGGGCGACGTGTTTGTGGTCACTCTGCAAACTTTGGTGGGGCTGGCATGGGCAGTTTGTGTGCGAGCAGGACTGCCCCAGCCTGTGTCGGGTCTTGTTGATGGATGGCCTTCCCATGCAGACGACAGTCTTGGGTAGGGGTCGCAGTGGAAAAGATTTTCCCCCTAGATCGAAGTTCCTGTTCTTTGTAGGGTGCACACTCTTCGGTGGCCACCCCAACTCAAACCCTGGAAGTCAGCCGGCTTCCAGTTACTGGTTTTCTCTCTCTCTCGAAGCTGTAGATCAACTAGAAGGTGGGTATAGTGCAGGTCGACGTACAAACTCCCTGAACTTCACACTCAGGACCTTTGTACTTAGCCTCCAGTAACTACAGTGAAATACCAGAGGAGCCTCATGTAGGAAGAGAAAAGGTTTAATTAGGTCACAGTTCTGGAAGTCCATAACATGGTGCCTGTGTAGACTTGTTTTGGCGAGGGTGGAGGATGATGACACCTCACAGTGGGGACATATAGGAGCAAAGCCGTCATATCTCCAAGTGAAGACAGACAGACAGACAGACAGACAGACAGACATGCCCACTGTGATCAGAGGACCTCTCACAAGGCTACATATTCCAAAGGTTCCATCACCACCTTATACTACAGTACCACTCGTGCACCAAGGCTTCAGTTACAACAGACCCTTGGGGGGCAGTTAAACAAATGAACTAAACCAGAGCAACCCTCTACATCCAGGGTCTGGTTCATCTGCTGACCCCAGGCCCTGATGCTCCCTGCACAGTCAGCTGCAGAAGTCTACACATGACTCCCTCAATCTGGATCTTTCTGTCCTCCCAAGGGCTGACTCTTCCTCTTTTCTAGAATTATGCTTTCCTTTGCTTCTTCCATCATAATTCAACATAGGGTTGTATGTATGTATTTTTTAGGGGGCGGGGTTCTGAGAGAAGGTCTCACTGAGCAGTTCAAGCTGGCCTTGAATTCCCTATGTGGCCAAGGCTGGCCTTGTACTTAGGTTGATCCTGCTGCCTCAACCTCCCAAGTGCTGGGATTACAGGTGTGCACCACCACCCCTGGCCTCTCTTTTCTCTTTTTTAAATTTTAAAACAAGGTCTTGCTAAGTTGGCCAGGCTAGACTCAAACTTGCAATTTTCCTGTCTCAGCTCTCTGAGCAGCTGGGATTATGGTATGCACCATCGTGTCCAGCTCATTAATGTTTTTTAAGCAAAAGTGTCTGCCTTTTTACCTTTGAGTTGGAAGGATTTTGTTGTTGTTGTTGTAGCTAAAGTCATCACTGATAACCTATGAGCACCGTATTTCTTCTACTTGAATGATGATTCCTTTGATTTTTTAAAAACCTATATAACATATACATTTTCTTAACTATTTATAAGTGTACATTAACTACATTCACAGTGTTGTGAGAACATCACTACTACCTATATCCCCAATTTTTCATCATTTCCGACGAAAGTGCTGTCTGCTTAAACAATTCCTCATTCCCTTTTCTTTCATCTCCCCAGCCCCTTGCAATCACCGTTTTACTTTCTAACTATGCACGTGACTATTCTGGGTACCCTGTATATACTAAGAATCATGTAGTACTTGTCCCTTTATATGTGGTGTTCTTCACTAAGCATCCTGTTTTTAAGGTCATCCATGTGCTAGCATCATATCTCCTCCTGCTCCTCTTTCTCCTTTTTCATTTTCCTTTTCCCTTTTTTTTTTGGTACTGGGGATTAAACCTATGGCTTTGTGCATGCTAGGAAAGTAGTCTCTGCCACTCAGCTGCCACCCAGCCAAGGCAGTGGTTCAGGCTGAATGAAGATATCAGTTAATGAGTGAGTTGCTAACACATAAGCAGTAGTGTTTTTGTTTTCTCCCTAAGGATCAAACATAGGACTTTGGGGAAAGAAAGGGCCTGTTATATCACGGAACCGCATCCTCAGCCTTTTTATTTCTTTTTGTTTTGGTTTTGGAGACAGGGTCTCACTGTGTAGTTCAGGCTGGCCTCAAACTAGGCCTTGCTCCTTCATTTTTAAAATGAGAAAAATTCCAGTGTGAGTCTGTACCACGTTTTGTTTACCCATTCATCTGTTGATAGGGATTTGGGTTGTTCCTATCTTTTGATTATCATGAATAATGTTGCTGTGAGCGTATTGGTTTGAGTCTCTGCTTACAGTTCTTTGTGGCTGATATGGTAATTCTGTGTTTTAAAGTTTTTGACAACCTGGCAGACTATTTCTACAGCAGCTATACCATTTTACATTCCCACACCATTCCAATTTCTCTGTGTTCTCATCAACACTTCTTTTCCTTTTTATTTTTTTAGAATTTTAGAATTATAGCCATCCTAGTAAGTGTGAAGTGATTTTGATTTACATTTTCATAATTACCAATGATACTGATCATTTTTGATGTACCTATTGGTCATGTATATATTTAGCAAAAGTGTCTATTCAAGTCCTCTGCCCATTTATGAACTGAATTCTGTTTTCCAGTGAATTTTTAAGAGTCACTTTCAATTTAGACATATCATTGACTGTAAAAGTAATTTCCATGCCAGAAATGTTAGACTATTATAAAATATATATTGAAATATACAAATATTATATTGTATGTAAAACATATTAACTTGCCTTTAGATAATTGCGTCAGCCTGGTGATAATAATTATTTTAATAGAGTAGGTTAAATCATCCATTAATGCAAAGGTACTTTTGTTCATGAACTTAATTCATTCTTATCCAATTCAGTTTGTGATCAGAATCATGGAAATAACTAAGTTTGTGAACTGAGGTAGCGCTGTAATTGATTTATTTTCCACTAACTCTATCAATATCTGCCTCAGTTAAACACTTGTTATTCAAATATACCATGCTTACATTTGGAGGACGTTTAACATGTTAAACATAATATTAGATTACTGTGTTAAAAGGTAGAGTGAGACTATTTTAGCCTTTATGTCTGTTTATTTTAAATACTAGTTATTATGGAAATGTTAGAAAAAAGTGATCACTTGTTTTTAATTCAAGTAATTTAAGTGATACCTAGGAGACTAATGGAGACCCCATCTCCAAATGCAAAATTTTAAAAAGGGCTGGGAATGTAGCTCAATGTGAAGGCCTTGGGTTCAATCCCCAGTACTTAAAAAAGTCTAATTTAAATCAGCACAAGGACTTGACGATAACCTGTCTCTGTTTTTGTCTTGGCAGAACCAGGGGTCTCTATTCTCCATCCGGGTTGTGGGGCTGTCCCTGGCCTGCAGCTACTTGTCCCCACAGGATAGTCGGCCCCTCTGTCACTGGGCAGTGGACAGGTAAGGGAAGTCTCTGGGTTAGGTAAGAGAGTGAGTGTGCTCTTATTTGTCTGAACTCTTTTGAGGCTGTGTATCAGTAAAATTATAGTAGAGGTAGGGATGTAGCTCAGTGGTAAAGCCTGGATAAGAGCCATTGCCCTGAGTTACTTCCCCAGCACTGTAAGAGACAAACAGACTGCCGGGTGTGGTGTTGCACACCTGTAATCCCAGCACTCGGGAGGCTGAGGCAGGAGGATCACTGAGTTTGAAACCAGCCTGGGCTACATTGTGAGTTCCAGGTCAGTCTCAACTACATAGTGAGACCCTGTCTCAAAAAACCAAAGAGACAAACAGACTGCCGGGTGTGGTGTTGCACACCTGTAATCCCAGCACTCGGGAGGCTGAGGCAGGAGGATCACTGAGTTTGAAACCAGCCTGGGCTACATTGTGAGTTCCAGGTCAGTCTCAACTACATAGTGAGACCCTGTCTCAAAAAACCAAAGAGACAAACAGACAAAGTTGCTTACAATAGTAGCTGTTCTAGGCCACTTACCTCTCCAGCATCAGCCACCTTGTTGGGTCCTTAAATACATTCTGCTCTTTAACCCTTATATCCAGATAGGTACCATTGTGGCCACTTTAAAGATGAAGGAACACCAAGGGTCCCAGAGATGATTAACTTGCTCACACTTGCATCATTAGTTAATGGCAGGTCCAGCTCTGAACCCACATTTAAACCAAAACACTCATCCATTTGATTGGGTCATGCTACTACACCAGCAGGAGCGTCCCCTCTCAGCTGGGTGAGAGTGTGGCCACTAGATCATTGGCCCCAAACCATAGAAGGCTGTGGACTATGACTGGGGGTAAAGCCAGCATGGTTGTGTCTCCTGGTTCTCCCCGTGTCCACCTGTGCTCTCTGTCCTGTGCAGAGCCTCCACAGGGCCAGCACAGTAGCAAAGGGCCATTTTCCTCTGTATACTTGTTGTCCAGCATTGTTGTTCATTTTCCTACGGTCTGAAAGTTCTCAGGAATGTTCAAAGATTCCCTGACTTGGTGAACCAAAGCTGACTGATGACAGAGAACCAGGATGGGGTGATCTAGAAGGTTCTGGAACCTATATCATATGGTCAAATATACAGTGAATATTTAAATTTAAAAAATTATTAGTAAAAGACATTGCTATTAACCTCCTTCGAAATACTTTCCTTCACTTCAAACCCAGTACCTCACCATCCGTTTTATTTTCTGGAACAGTTCTGGAAGCCCTCTTTCATGAATGTCTTTACAAGGCAGGATAAAAAAAATATATGGTGAATGCTGCTGCCGCCGCCGAGTGCCATCTAACATAAAGGCAGGCTCGTAAAATCATGGCCGCGTCCTCATCTTCCTTATTCATTGGATTTGGCACCTTGCAACTTCTGGCTCTTCCCCAAAGTCAAAATGGTCATGAAAAGTAAACATTTTGAATGAATTCAGGATTCAAAACCTGTGCCTGATTTCATTCCACTTAGCTTTATGATCTCTTCTACAAATTGTTCCTTCTTTATGGCTGACTACTACTTCATTATATATAATACTCATGAATAATATCTCGATAATAAAAATGTAATGGGAACACATAAAATACATGTTCTATTACTTAAGATATTATTATATTCAATATGTAGCTCCCATTTTCTTTTATTCATCTGTTGATGAGCATATTGACAATCTTCAAGATTTAGCTGTTATGAATTGTGCTCTTATAAGCATGGGTATGGATGTATCATTGCAATATGATGTCTTTAACTCTTTGGGGAAGGTGCTCAGAAGAGGTATGGCTGGGTCAAATGGAGTTTCTATTTTTTTTTTTTGAAAGAATATTCCTTTAACAGTGGCAGTGACTCTATGTAATAGCACAGAGAAAAGATAGTGGAGTGAGAAGGTGGTTGGGCTTCCTGTTTCCTAACCAGCCTGGATTTTAACAGCAGAGCGTCCCCTGGCTTCTCGCCTGGCTTCTCAGTGGTGTGGGAGGGTTGGGTTAGAAACTATGACTTTGATTACTCTAGATACCTAAGGCAGGTGGAACAGTGCAATATTTATAATCGTATGTTTGGCTCATGTCACTTGGTACCACGTCATCAAGGCTCATCCACGTTGTGGCACGTGTCAGAAGGTCCATCCTTCCTAAGGCGGAGTAATATTCCATTGAACAGATAGTCTACCTTGCAGTTTCCTAGCACTTTTTCTTTCTCTCGTTTTGGTTTTCTCGAGGTGTTCCTCTGTGGATAGGGAGCTCCACACGTTGTCGGGTCTCAGCACTGTCCCCTCGGCCCTCTGCTGACTCCTCCTGTGTTCTATCCCTGGGTTACCCTGCTCCTAGTTCTGCTTGCCACCTTTAGGTCGAGGGCCCCAGTTCTCTCCAGTCAGGTTTTTCTCTTACGTGGAGATCTGCTCATCCTGTGAAGTGTCTTATAGATCCGAAGCCTTTGCCAACCTGAGCACTTCTTGGTGCTCACTTTCTTCTTCCCATCTTCAGTATCTACATGGGGACATCGCTTCTCAGCCTTTTGGGTAAGATCAAGTGTACATGAGGTCTCCTCATGGGCTCAGCAATCCAAGCTGGGAACCTCAGAACCACCCCTGATTCCTGCTTCTCACCTCTTTACATTCAGTTCGTTGTTAGGACTTTCTTCTTTCAAATCCTGGCCTTCCTCAGATCTATCCCCTCCTCTCCACACTCATTATCCCATGAGTTCAGTGTTGACCCCTGTCATGTGAGTTTGAGCCCTGATCTTTTGCTTGGATCGCTCTGCAGCTCCTCTTTGACTTATGTGCCTCCAGACCAGTGGTCCTCTCCTCCCACTTTCATACCTGTTTGTTATACCCCCTTCAGTGGCCGGCCAGGGCCTACTGCATAATGTCGGTCCAAGGGCAGCAGATAGCCCTCCCTCTCACCAGATGGCCTGACACTTACCATGCCTACCTGTACCAGCACACACCCTCTCTCCTCCTGAGTTCTCTGCCAGTACAGACTTTCCCCTGGCTAATGCCTGCCTACCTGCCCTCCAGAGCACCCAGGCGCCTCCTCTGAGTTCTGGTACACACCCTGGGTGCATTCTGTTGATCTCTGTGTGCTTCCTCATTAGACTCTAAGGTCCTTAAAGTAGAGGTAGTTATGTACATACAATATTTGGAATATCATCTCTTCTCTTAACTTTAGACGGTGCCCTCTTTCCTCTCTGAATCAGGACTATGAGAAGAGATGTTTGTGCTGTTAGACCAATGATTGTTTCCATGTAAAGAGCAGATCTCAGGGTATAGCCATCCTTCTTACTCTCTGTGCCCCTAGGAGCTTGGTATAACAGAGTGGAAGGGGAAGCCCCTTCCCTTTTTCTACTCTTAGGTTTAGATCCCATTGGACAAGTAGTCTGTGACTAAGACAGGAAAAGATCAAAACTGTAGTTGTGTTGAAAAGACTGATTAAAAGATGTGATTGGGATATGAATCCAACTTGGGCTTTTGAATGTGTCTCGCCCAATTAAATCATGCCTCCACCCCATCCCCCATCAAGGCAGAACTCTCCAATTGTAGGCCTCCTTCATGGTAGAAATGGGGAGTTTTGGTGTTGTAAAGAAAAAGGCTTAGATATAGGGCTCCCTCATGTGTATCCTGAGTCAAATATTTATCCCAAATGCCCAATTTCACGCTTGCAGGGTGGTGCTGCTTTCAGGGAGCTCAGGGCATGGGTGAAGGAGAGTGCCAGCCTGCTACACTCAGGCCCTGGAAAGAAGCAACAAGAGGGGCAGAGCCAGTGGTTTCTCCCAATTCTACTGATCAGAAAAGGTGCTTCTCCTGGGGAAGGAGGAGGGCGGGGAGCAACAGGCTCATAGCTTAGTTCTTCCAATTCTACAGGAAGATGAGGAAGGACAATCAGTGTTCACCCCAAACAAACAAGGCACCACCAACCAGAGCCTGGAGAACTCCTCCAGCTCCACCGTACTCCCAGCCCTCTCTGGTTTTTGGTCACGCAGGAAGGTGCAGCTTTACCCTAGATTCTGGGTCCTTGTCCAGAGGTCTTTGCGATTTCGATGAGCTTGAAAGCATCTGTTGAATTACTATGACTCTGATTTCCCCCTCTTAATTCTGCTGTCGATTCTTAGCAGTCTGTTGGGTGTGGACTTGCCTCCCTTGTACTTCCCTGGTTCATTTCAGGGTGAAACCTCACAACTTTCGCTTCTCTCCGGCCCATCTCTATTGCATTAAGTCCTAGCAGCCTCTTCTGAAATGGGTCAGGCCTAGCAGTTGGAACGAGGTATATGTTAACTCACATAGATTTCCTGGAGGGCTTGGAAGGCCAGGAATTTTTAGGTGGCTTGGGTGGGCTGAGTGTGCTTCTCCCTCATTCTGTGGTGGGGGCGGTTAGCAGTTCTCTGGGGCTTCCTCCGTGTGGGCTGTTGGTGTGGGACGTTCGCATGGAGCTTTCTTCAGACACTGAGAAGGAAACTGGAGACTGTAATGGGACAGTCGGTCTGTGGACAGTTGATCTATGTCCTTGGAGTAACCCAAAATCTTAGAGCTCCCAACCACCCAAGGGCACGAGGAGACTTAAGATGTAGGTTTAGGACAAAGCCTTCAGCAGAGTTTGAGACCCTAGATAGCTTGGGTTTTGGTCAGTTTAGGGTGTTTCTGTGTGGAGCATCCATCCAAGGTTGCAGACCAACTGCTAAACCCTGCAGGACTGTGAAAAGGTGGCTCTGTGTTTCCTGACAGGCTCCCTTGCTCTCTCCTCAGGGCTTTGCACCTCAGGAGGCCCGGAGGCCCACCCCATGTCAAGCTGGCCGTGGAGTGGGACTGTGCCACCAAGGAGTGGTGAGTCATGGTGCCTGCCTCCTGCAGCAATGAGATGGGGCTGCCTCTACTCTAAATGTTCTCTGGGTCTCTTCCCCCAGTCTGATTATACAGCAGTGTACACAGCCCAAAGCTGTGTGCCCCATCCCTCTGGGAATCCAAGAGTTGTTAGTGCATAAGTAGCCCTCATAGCAATCGTGGCCATGATAGTGATGCTAGGAGTGGTGAACGTTGTAAGGTTCTCACCCTGTGCTAGTGTCCCTACTCGCAGCACTGTGTTTACTGTGACAGTTTACTGAGTCTTCGTCACACCCTCTGTGTGCGGACCAGGAGGTGGGGGGTCCTGTTGTACTCTGCATTTCTCAGAGGTGGATATGGAAGCACAGAGAAATTGAGCAGTGGCTTAAGGTCACGCAGCTCGTACTTAGCAGAGCTGAGATTTGAACCCAGGCTGTCTGGTTCAACTCCAGGCTCTTAATCAGTCTGTATCAGCCTTACTTTGAAACAGGACATATTTCAGTCCAATTAGTATTTATTGATCTCCTACCAGGTGAAAGGTCTTGTGCTAAGACAAAGAAAACAAACGTGGGTAAGCCAGGACTTGGTCTGCTGGGGAGCTGGGAGGGAAGACAGATGGCGTGAGACAGGGTGGGTGCGAAGTCAGAAGCATGCGAAAGCGGGCCTCAGGATGCCGTAGGAAAGGGTACTGCAACTTCACCTGGCCAGTGCTTTCTGCTGGGTTTGCTGTGGGGACAGACGGAGAAATGGGTAAGCCAGGACTTGGTCTGCTGGGGAGCTGGGAGGGAAGACAGATGGTGTGAGACAGGGTGGGTGCGAAGTCAGAAGCATGCGAAAGCGGGCCTCAGGATGCCGTAGGAAGGGTACTGCAACTTCACCTGGCCAGTGCTTTCTGCTGGGTTTGCTGTGGGGACAGACGGAGAAAGCCCTTTTGGAAGCGAAGGCCCTGAACACTGGTGTCTTCTCCCTCCACGCAGCCTGTTTGGGAGCCTCCAGGAGGAGCGGGTCCCTGACGCAGACAGTGTGTGGCGGCAGCAGCAGGCACACCAGCAGCACAGCTGTACCCTGGATGAGTGCTTTCAGTTCTACACCAAGGAGGAGCAGGTCCCGCCCTGGGCCCACTCCCGGCTGGGAAGGGGGCTGGCTGCCTGGCGATGGGTCGGCCGTGTGCTGCAGGGCCTCACGGTCCTGGTGGCTTCCTTTCCAGCTGGCCCAGGATGACGCGTGGAAGTGCCCCCACTGCAAGGTCCTCCAGCAGGGCGTGGTGAAGCTGAGCCTGTGGACACTTCCTGACATCCTCATCATCCACCTCAAAAGGTTCTGTCAGGTTGGGGAGAGAAGGAACAAGCTGTCCACACTCATCAAGTTTCCACTCTCGGGACTCGACATGGCTCCCCACGTGTCTCAGAGGAGCACCAGCTGCAAGCCAGGGCCGGGTTCCTGGCCCTCCTGGAAGCAGCCAGCCAGCCTGCCCACCGCCTACCCGCTGGACTTCCTGTACGACTTGTACGCCGTCTGCAACCACCATGGCAGCCTGCAAGGTGGGCATTACACAGGTGAGCCCTGCCTTGCCTCTCTGCACACAGCGGTCATGGCTGTGGGTCTTGGCTGTGGCCTGAGCCTCCTGGTATCTCTTTAATTGGCCCCTTTCTATGCTGAGCTGCCTCTGCACCCACTGTGACTGACAGCAGGATACCAGGGTGTGTGCCAGGCGGAAGGGTGCCTGGTACCCACTGCAGAGCTGAAGTTGCTTAGGCTGGTGGCTGGAATATGAAGTTAGTGGCTGCCTAAATTTCCAAGCATATCAAATATGGGTGGGTGATTACTGCAACCAAAAGAGTGATGTTTAGCATTGTCAGTGATTCTTCTGCACAAGGAATCTTACTTCTCTCAGATGGTATCTTTTTATTTTATGGGGTACTTTTAATTTCTGCTGCTCTAGAGAACTTGGGAGCAGTAGACAGAAAGAAGCAAATTGCTAGGTAACTCTCTCAGTGGTTCCTCCCTGGAAACTCTTTTAGAGTGTTCTGAATGATTGCTCCTTGAGTATGTCCTTCCCTGCTTCTGTCCCATCAGGGTATCTCAGGGGCCACGGGAGACCTACAGGAGAGCTGTCAGCAGAAGCAGCAGTGGCATGTTCCCTGTGTAGATGGTGGTGAGGGCTGATCCAAGTGATCTCTGTGATTCTGACAGGTTTAGGGTGTGGGCTTCCACTTGAGGGTGGTGCAGAGAAACATGAGAGTGCCAGGCCAGCGACACAGAGGGGTCAGAGGATGGGGCCGGCCTGGTCACACTGAAGTTACAGGGGACTCCAGAGTTGCTCTTGTACTGCTGTGTGGTGCCATCCACTTTTTCCACACAGCCCCTTCCCCAGTCTTTCTCTATGGCCTCAAAAATAGCTTGGCAGAAATCCTTCATGACCTGCATATTCCTTTGGAGATATTTCTCTTGCTAAATTAACCTCAGATTATTATTGTTTTTTAACAAAAAGTTTCATACCTGAATTAGTCCTTGTATTCACATTAATGATGAAAATAAGGACAACTGGAGGTAGGGTCTTGTCATTTCACATGTGGAATGTGCCAGTTTCTCATATAAACTTCTGGAAAGGCCCCTTTGTAAATTAAGGACACTGGTGTAGAATCACCCGGGGACTTAGAAGTCATGTAGGCTCGGGGGGTGGGGTGGGTGGTAGGTTTGTGTACCGTGAGCTTTGCCTTATCAAATACAAAATCCAGATCCCTCTCATGAGTAAGCGTTAAGGGGTGAAATCTGCAATTTTGAGGTAACAAGGGACCCGATTTCTGCAGAATTCTCCCAGGGTCGGTGATTGCCCGTACTACAGAGTATCACTTGAAAGAAAAAGGCTACTTAATACAAAATCAAAGAGAGGAAAGAAAGAGAGAGGGGACCAGCAAGGGTGGAAGCAGAGCAGGGTCTACAGCCAGCACTGCCGAGGGAGGTCGGGGCTGAATGCTGTCTGCTGCGCCACCTCCCAGTGTCCTTCTCACCACAGCCTTGCACAGCAGGTTAATGACAGAGCCAGAGGGTCTCCCCTGAGCCACTTAGCTGCAAGGTCCATAACCTCTGCCTTGCACAGGGTGAATGAGCTCTAACATGAATAAGACCCTGAACCATGCAGGGTGCCGTGGATGGGGACCAACCTCTTCAATCAGAGATGAGCACCTTCTTGTAGCTTCCTAAGAAGGGGTGATGGAGCGTGACATTTTGAGTCCTTGCACATCAGAAAACACCTTTATTCCCACCTTTGGTCGACAGGCTGGTTGGATACAGAGGCCTAAATTGATGATTGTTGTCCCACAGACTTGGGACAGGGATGGTTGGCAGGGACTGGGGTCAGGAATGGCGTCATCCAAATTACTTTGTTCCCTTTGGCTGAGATCTACACTTCATTCTGGAAACCTTTGGGTGCTTGATCTCTGGTGCCCTGGAATCTTACAACATGTACCCTCATGCAGGTCTCTTTTGTTAATTGTGCTAGGCATGGAGGAAACCTGTGCCTGATCTTCAGGTCTGGAAATTTCCTTATGCTCAATTAAAAAAATGTTAATTGGCACATAAAATTGTACATACTTGTTGAGTATCACATGATGGCTTGATACATGTACACATTGTATAATGTTTAAATTAGGGTCACCATATCTATATCCTCAAATATGTATCATTGCATTGTGATGAAAACATTAAAAACCCTTTCTTCTAGCTTTAAAAAATATGCAATACATTATTGTTATCTGTAGTCCTATGATACTATGCAATATAACACTGAATATAATTCTCCTGGCTTAATGTGTCTCCCCCCATTGCTGCTTCCCTCCTTGCTGGAATCCTCAGCCTCCAGTAACCCGTTTCTACTTTTGTCCTCAGTGAGATCAATTTTTTGAGATCTTATATCTGAGTAAGATCCTGTGGCCCTTGTCTTTCTGTTCCTAGCCTATTTCACTTAATGTGTCTGCTGATTTTTAAAATTCAACATAAGCAGACATACAGTTAGATACTATAAAGCTTCTCCGTCCTCCTAACTTCTCAATACTGCACCTGGCTTTTTTCACTTAGTGAGAAATCTTAGAGATCTTTCCATATGGGTACATAGGGAATTAGGACATTCATTGTTTTAAAAAATTGCTTCGTATTTTATTGTGTACATGCACCAGTTCATTTTACTTATCTCCTATTCATGGGCATTTAGGTTGTTTACAAACTTTCATTTTAATACAGGTAGTATCCCTGAGGCAGACTAAGAATAATGATCTCTCAAATATGTCCATGTCCTATACCTCAGGACTGGGAATATGTTATCTCACCTGGTAAGTGCAGTTGATCACTTAAGGTATCTCACCTGCTAAATGCAGTCAAGGTGGTTGATCAGCTGACTAAGACAGAGACGCTCATGTATCGCCTGGGTGGGCCACTTGAAATACCAGAGACCTTTCACTGTGGAAGAAGGAGGTGAGAGAGTCAGTGACGTGGGTGAGAGGAACTCAACTTCAACTCATCATCAATGGCTTGGAAGATAGAAGGGGCCAGAAGCCAGGAATGGGGGCAACCTTGAGAAGTTGGAAAAGACGAGCAAGCTTGCTGAGAGCCTTCAGGAGACTACAGCTCTGATGCTCCCTTGATTTTCGATCACTGAAGCTCAGTTTGGGTTTTGGCTTCTTGAACTGTGTAATAGTATATTGGTGTTGTTCGGAGTAGGTGTAGGGTGATTTGTTGCAGTAGCACTAGGAGACCAATGATCTACAAGAGTTTCTCATTTTCATTATCTTTTCCTTCTTATTTTCCATTTGATTATCTCTCTCTCTCTCTTTTTTTAACATATACTTTAGGATATTTCTTCAATTTCCTCTCCTAACCATGGTACTGCATGCTCTTATTGTGGCTGTCATGATTTTAACTGGTTAGTGCTCTTTCTCTTGTCTGGGATTTCTTCACCAGGGCACTCTGCTATTGCTTTTGGCCCTCACCCAGCCCAGCCTTTTGGGGTGCCTCATACCTCCAGTCCTGAGCCCCCAGGTACACCCCGGTGAATGGGTCCCTGTCTCTCTCCCCAGCTTGGCGGGCATTGTAAGTTGAGCTCCCTTGGCTCGGCAGGTGTGTGCGGGGGTGGGAGGTGGTGGTGGCCCTACTCCGTCTGCTTGCTAGGCTCTCAAAATGGGAACTGGTCTTTCTCTCCCACTGTCTTTTTTTTATTATTATTATTCTCATTGAGTTTATTGGTGCATTTAGGTATACAGTACAGTTCCATTCATCACTGGGATCTAGTACCTTTACATGACAGGTCTTGCTTCTCATTTTTTCCCCTTCCCACTGTCTTTTGACGCTGTGCTTTTACTTCTTTCCACCTTCTGGAAGTATGGTCATTTCACTGCATTTCAGAAATGTACATTTTTAGAAATCTAGAATGCCTTCTGTTGGATTTTAAATTTGTAGAGTAGGTATTGCAAATCTATATTTCAAACTCATGCAGCCTAAAAAAACCGGACAGTGCAGAGTCTTGATCCCATCTTTGTTCCTCATCATCCCCCTCCCCTTCAACTACTTTTAATAGTGTCTTGTCTATTCTTCCATACTTTTCTTTATGTAAGTGCAAGCAACTGGGAGTAAATCTTCGCATATATATTCGTATAGTTCCATTATATCCCTAATTTAAGTGAGTTAAATTTTCTGAGTTGTACCGCCCCCCTCGCCTTAAAGTCTGTCTTGGAAATCTTTGTAAATTTGTTGGAAGCTTCCCTGCCCTCTGTAAATGCACCACATACATGAAGCAGTTCATTAAATGAGTGCCCAACAGGTAGACTTCGGGCTGGTTTATTACTTTGCTCTTACAAACATTGCTGTCATAACCTTTTACATACGTCATTTCCTACGTGAACAAGTTTGTCAGTAGGAAAACGTCTTAGAACTGGGATAGCTTGGTCTCTGAGGGTTTTTTTGTTTGTTTTTGTTTGTTTGCAGGCTAGTGCTCTGCCACTGAACTATACCCTAGCCTTGGGTTGGCATTTTGACAGATACTAAACCAATTGCTGTGCAAAGGTTTGTAGGAATTTGCACTCCTGCAGGCAGTAAGTGAGTGCTTGTTTGCCCATAACCTCTCCACTCTAGTGTTGTTATACCTGCAACAGTGGTGTATCAGTGTAAGTGTAGCACTTAGTTTCTCACAGTGTAAGTTTAAGCCTCTTTTCCTCTACCTAACAGCTGTTGTGGGTCCTTTTCTATGAACTTTCTGTACATATCCCTTGTCTTTCAAGTGGACTATTGTAACAAGCTCTGTGTAACTTCTGTCACTTGACTGTTCTGCAGTCATTTGTCACTGAGCAGAAGGTTGTTATTTTTTCTAGGTAACCAAATGGTCATTTTGTTTCTGTCATGACTTCTCAAGTCAGCAGTGATTGGAAAGCCTTTTCTTTTGTTTTTTTTAAACAAGATATTTTGCCTGTGTTTTCTATTAGTACTTTTATGGTTTTACATTTTTATGTTTAAATTTTCAATTTGGAGTTTCTCGATACTCTTAAGAAAATGGGATTCAGTTTTTTCCCAAAGAAGATACTGATTTTATCCCAAGACCACCACTTATTGAAAAGTGTACTTCATTACTTGAAACTCCTTCTGTCCTAATGGATATTACTTTTTTCTTTTTAGACAGGGTCTCGCTGTGTAGTTCAGGCTGACCTTGAACTCACTATGTAGCCCAGGCTGGCCTTGAACTTGTGGAGACTCTGCTGCCTCAGCCTTCCATGTGCTGAGATTATAGGCATTTGCCACCAACCTCTGTGGAAGTTACATTTTTATGTTTGGGTGTTTGTTTGAGGCAGGGTTTCACTATGTAGTTCAGGCTGACCTTGAATTCTTTGTGTAGCCCTGGTTGGCCTAGAACTTGCAGCAGCTTGCCTCAGCCTTCTGAGTGCTGGGATTACAGGCGTGCGCCACCACGGCTGGCTTAAAATGATTTTTATAATGTTATAAAGGTGGTAGAAAAGGAAAGCAAGAAGAGTGTGTGGTAGAAAGCGTTGTGACCGTATGTGACCTGCAGAGCCAGAATTATTTGCTCATCTGGCCCACGTAAGGATTCAAGCTTAAAATAACAATGCCCTTTATCAGTAAGAATCTGGGAGTATGACTTATGGATCATTTCTGATGCCAGACTTCATTCTTAGTCTACCCCACCCTCCAACACCCATGGAATTTCTTCTCGTTCTGTTCTAAGCGTGTCCATTTTCCAGCCTTGCCAGTGGGGAATGTCCTCCCGCCCTTTGGGGTTCTGATGACTGAGACTGGGTTCTGGACCTTTGCAGCTTACTGCCGGAACTCTCTGGATGGCCAGTGGTACAGCTACGATGACAGCACAGTGGAACCGATCCGGGAAGATGAGGTCAACACCAGAGGGGCATACATCCTATTTTATCAGAAGCGGAACAGTATCCCTCCGTGGTCGGCCAGCAGCTCCATGAGAGGTGAGGCTATTGCTTGTCTGAGTGCCTCAGGCTAGTAGCTCATTTGTCCAGATATGGGGTGGATATACTGTATTTCCAGAAAGGGGAAAAGAATGATGTCACTGGGTGTGGTGCTGCGCACCTGTAATCTCTGCACTCAGAAGGCCGAGGCAGGAGGATTCCTGCAAGTTTGAGGCCAGCCTGCGCTACATAGTGAGCGAGGCCTTCTCTCAAAGCAAAAGTTGCTTGTCTGAGTGCCTCAGGATAGTAGCTCATTTGTCCAGATATGGGGTGGATATACTGTAAGTCCAGAAAGGGGAAAAGAATGATGTCACTGGGCGTGGTGCTGCGCACCTGTAATCCCTGCACTCAGAAGGCAGGGGATTCCTGCAAGTTTGAGGCCAGCCTGCGCTACATAGTGAGCGAGGCCTTCTCTCAAAGCAAACAACACAAAAGCAAAACAAAACAAAACAAAGAATAGTTTCTTTCAGTCAAAGCTGGGTGACTGGGAGTGTGTGACATTTAAACCTATGCTATAAGCTTGTGTTAGTCCTGCAGTAAAAGAGTACAAGGCCTCTCTAGAAAGTATGGTTGCTTAACGATCCCCCAGCAATTCTTTTATTAACCTCAAACATGCTTGGAAGTCTAGAGGAAAAAAGTGCCAAACTGACCCTTTTGTGTAACGGAGTCCACTCCGTAAGGCCGCTGTCCTTATTTTGGGGCTGGGAGAGCATTTAGCAAAAATTAATGAGATTTTCTCTTAACCATCATTACAAAATGGCCAAATAAACCAAGAATTCTCAGCAGACCTGTTAAACCTAATGCAAGTGTAGCTTCTACATACTTAGAAAGTAGATACTGAAAGAATAAAAAAATACCATATTAGAAAAGGGCAGATTTTCTTACTGTCCAGTGTAATAAAGATAATATCGCCTTCCAGATCAAAGAGTAGACATCCTTAATGACCATTACAAAAGACTTTGTTTCCCTACACATGGGGTACGCCCTTCTAACGTAGTTTATTGCATGGTAATCCTTGGGAACTGAGGCCATGGGTCCCGGGAATAAAACTCAGACTATGGCTATCGCTGTAAGTAATAAAGTCCTTTGGTTCTGGAAAGAAAGTAGACTGAAAGAATAAAAAAATACCATATTAGAAAAGGGCAGATTTTCTTACTGTCCAGTGTAATAAAGATAATATCGCCTTCCAGATCAAAGAGTAGACACCCTTAATGACCATTACAAAAGACTTTGTTTCCCTACACATGGGGTATGCCCTTCTAACGTAGTTTATTGCATGGTAATCCTTGGGAACTGAGGCCATGGGTCCCGGGAATAAAACTCAGACTATGGCTATCGCTGTAAGTAATAAAGTCCTTTGGTTCTGGAAAAACAAATAAAAAACTTTTGGGAAGCCTGAGTCGGTAACTAGTAATTTCACGGAAAGCATTTCAGTCCTCACCAGCGTACTTTCCTTTCTGTGCCCCCCTGCCTCTCCCCAAACCTGGAAGGCTGGTCACACGGGCACCACCGTAGGACTCTCGGGCATGCAGCACTGTTGCTGGCAGGGGAAAGCGTGTGCCCTTTGGTTGCTGAAGGGAGGGTTGGGTGCAACCTCCCCGTGCTTCCTCTGCAGGCTCCACCAGCTCCTCCTTGTCTGACCACTGGCTCATGAGGCTTGGGAGCAATGGGGGAAACAGCACCCGAGGCAGCCTGCTCTCCTGGAGCTCTGCCCCCTGCCCCTCACTCGCCCGGGTACCCGACTCTCCTCTCTCCACAGACAGCCTCTGCCACCAGGAGAAGGGTAAGTGCCTTGCATTTGCTGATTTTCTGTAACAGCCGTTGTCCCTCCGCTTGGTCAAAGTGTTGGCCCTTCCTAGTTCTGAGCACAGAGTCATTCAATACAGGAGGGTGTTCACCTGTCACATAGGGTCTCTGTGACCTGCTTGCACCCGTCCCTCCTCCTCGTGCCTCCATGTATAGGTACAGTGGGCCCTCTGTGTACTTTTTTCCTCTAGACTTCCAAGCATGTTTGAGGTTAATAAATGAATTGCTGGGGGACCGTTAAACAACCATACTTTCTAGAGAGGCCTTGTACCCTTTTACTGCAGGACTAACAAGCTTATAGCATAGCTTTAAATGTCACATGTTTGTAGAGCCAACCAGGTGCAGATTGGAAATATTTGGGGGGAAAAAAACCCTGCATCTGTACCGAACATGAAGACTTTTTTCTTGTTATTATACCTAAACCAACTATTTCTATAGCACTGACATATACTGGGTGTTATAAATAATCTAGAGATGATTTAAAGTGTACAGGAGAAGGTCCATAGGTCCTACACAGACCCCGTGCCGTTTTATATCTGGACTTGAATGACTGAGAATTTTAGTGCCTGCAGGGGGACCTGGAACTGATGGCCTGTGGATCCCATGGATTATTCTACATTCCTTCTCGGCTCTCACGGAGCCTGTTGTCTCATGGGGGCCGACAAGTAATGAAGGCAGCAGTGTGACTGAGAACGGGGATAAATAATCAGGAATGAAATATGGAGGCCAGGAAGAGGGAAAGTGGCACAGAGTGAGTGGGCTGGGCGAGCATGTGCTTGAAGTGGCATTCTGAGGAGGCGGCACTGAGGGAGAGGGGGCGCTGAGGGAGAGGGGGCGCCTCACGGGGAAGTCTGGGGAGTGCATTCCAGGAAGGGAGCATCAAGGGGAACGGCCAGGGTCGGGGTGGGGTAGAAGAGCCCAGAGGTGGCCAGAGCTGAGTTCCTTGGCACCCATTCCTGTGCATTCCTACTTTTTTTTTTTCTTTTCCTCCCAGCACTAGAGATTGAACCTAGCTACATCCCCAGCCCCTTTTTGTTTTTTACTTTGGGGCAGGGCCTCCCTAAGTCACTTAGTTGCCTAGGCTGTGCTGGAACGTACCATCCTCCTGCCTCTGCCTCCGGAACGCTGGGATCTGTGCCCCTGAGCCCGGCTCCATTCCTACTCCTTACTGGTACAGTGGGTTGCAGCCCACCCTGGCCAGGCATTTTTTTTTTTCTCCCTGCGTTTTCATGACTTCGCATTTAGAAGAACGTCTGTAAAAGAGGGAAATGTTCTTCAGACTTGTTCATCCCTGCAGCACTGCCTATGATCAGCTTATAAATTTGTCTCAGCACCATCCGTGGAAAGGCACAGTACCCCGGGCCCTTTGTCAGCTCTCCCAAGGAGAAAACTGTCTGACATCGTCCCTGGTGGAGGCAACTCGAAAGGATGAGCACCTTTTCAGTGCAGCACAGGAAGTGTCCGGCACAGTCCCTAGGCCTCTCCTGAGGGCCCTGAGCCTTCGGTAGATGAGCAATTGCTCCTCTCACTCTGGAGGGCGGTTTCCTTACAGTCCCTAAAAGTGAGGAAGATGGGTAGGGATCCTCCCCAGAGGAGCTCTGGGGCTCAGACCTCCCCACTTTTCCGGACAGGAGTTTTTGTTGATAAATTTGCACTGTGGCTTTTATTGGCCCCCCAAGATTTTGTTTTTCTCTTTTTCAGCTCTTTCCAGGTAGTGTGTCATCTCAGTTTTCATTTTCTTCTTTGATCTAGATGTTATCTGGGAGTTTCGAGTATTTCCGATTGTTTTGTCACCTTCTTATTCTTTATTTCCAACTCGGTGGATTATGATCCAGGAGTGTGATTTTCAAAAGTTATGTTTCTTGTGATCAAGTTCTTGATTATTATTTTGTAAATGTTTCATGTACGTATCAAATAATACACCTTGTCTCTTTGGGAAATGTGAGCTTTGTTTACTAGCTGTTAGGTGAATTGGTCATTCATTCAGTTCCTCTGTGTCTTTTAATTTACCGTCTCTAGGACTGCTGCCTGGGAAGATGTATTGAACCTTCCTGCAGAGCTGTGTTTTTAATCATGTACTCCTCAAATTTTAATAATTTTGTTTTATATTGTTAGCTGCTTTGTTAATAGGTATCTGTGAATTTATCACTGTTGGATCTCCCTTTTTTTAATAAACTGTGCTTTTTATCATTATAATGTTGCTCTTTATCCTGCTTAATATTTTTTAAATCCTAAATATACTTTGTTCAAGGTTAAGAATTCCATTCCTTCCTCCTTTCTCTATTTGCCCCTGCCTGGTGTCATTTTGCTTTTTGCCTTTCTCTTTTGCTTGGTGAATTTTCTTTTTCAGAGAGTTTTAAGTGGTTTGTGGTAAATCGTATGTTGCTGGGTTTTTGTTTTTTGGTTTAATGTAAAAAATTCAGAGCTCCCCCTTGGTATAGTGCCAGGGTTCAAACCCAGGGCCTCACACAAACTAGATAAGCACCTCCTCCACTGAGCTGCACTCGGAGCTCTAAAGCCCGTCTCTTGTAGTTTTTATTTTTGACGGGGGAAGGGGGTACTGGGGATCGAACTTGGGTCCTTGTGCTTGCGAGGCAGGCAGCAGCACCACTAAGCTAAATCCCTGGCCCCAAGCCTGTCTTATAATTGAATAATTTAGTCCACTCATACTAAATGTGACATCTGCAATATTTGATCTAATCCATTTCATATTTTAAACTTTGTTTCTTTTTCCTTTCTCTGATCATTGTTGATTTGATCATGTTGCCATTCTCTTTTTCCCTTGTTAATCTGAAGTTCTGTGTTCTTTTCTACCTTGTTACAAGTACTTGGTATTTTCTTGATATTTATAATCAAGCACATTTTCCTATATTAAATGGACGTAGAAAGTCAACTGTCTCCCCCAAGGAACTGTACTTCTTTTCTTTCCTTTTTTCCTCTCTCCCTCCTCCCTTCTTCTTTCCCTCCTCTCTTTTTCCTCCTCTTCTCTTTCTTTTAGTTACTCTGGGGATCGAGCCCAAAAAGCACTGAGCCCTTATAGAAGTATTTATTTATTTATTTTATTTTTTAAGACAGGGTTCGTCTCATTTTGTAGTTCAGGCTGGCCTTGAACTCACAGCGATCCTCCTGCCTCAGCCTCCCCAAGTGCTGGAATTATAGGTGACTATCACCACAACTAGCTAAGATTTTATTTTGACACAGGGTCGTGCTAAGTTGTCCAGGCTGGCCTCAAACTTGTGCTCCCCCTTTGACCTCCTGAGTAGCAGGGGTTACACATTGCACATTTCATTTCATCCCTACCTTCTCTTCTCTCCTTCAATAAGAACTATATAATATTTCTGTTGTCACTCTGTTCCCTGCCATTCTGTCCAAACTGAAAGCTTCAAAATGCTTCCAAGTGCTTCTGGTCTGTTTTGGTCTCTTACCTCCTGACTGTTAGGTTTTGCTGAGAAGATCTGGTACTCTGTTCCAGGCTGTCCTTAGAATTTCTGTCCGACCCAACTTAACCTTAGGTGACCTTCTGAGGGCTGTCACACAGTCCCTCATGCAATGCGGACAGTTCACAGATTGTAGGGTCTGCTGCTGGACTGGTTTGTCTCCTTTGTGTTTCTGTTGTCCTGAGGTCTGGGTTCTGCTTCATTCATATTGGAAACCAAGCCTGTTTTTTTTTTTTTTTT